GTGCCTGCGCCTGGGACTCCCCCGGACTGACCCGGGCCCAGGGATGTGGGTCGCAGGCAGGTAGCGATGGCCCTTCCCGGCACAGCCCCCAGCCCTTATCAGTCACGGGGTGGGGCCCTGCTCACGCCCACCCCCCAGTGCCACTGCAGCCCCTAGGCTGAGATGAGGAGCCCTCTCGCCCGTCCACTACTTCGCGGGTGAACAGGCCGAGGGCCTTCTGCAGCCCCTCCAGCCTTGCTGCCCCCGTGCCTAAGCTGTGGAGGGCTCTGGCCAGTAGAGCGGCCCGGCCCCATGCACCTGCTGCATCCAGCAGCATCAGCCAGCAGGACCCACGTCCCCCCACTCAGGCAGGACGTGCTTCCCCCCTGTGCAAGTCAGAGCGGGGATGGGAGCACCATGCCCCTTATAGCACGGGTAGCAGCCCCCTGCCCACCACGGACAGGGACTTGGCCCAGGTAGGTCTCCACACTCCTGACACCCGTTGCAGTGTTGATAACTGACAGCCTGTGTCGCCTGTCCCCATGGCAACATCAGGCACTGGGACGGGGTCCCCCGATACAGACCTGCACTGTCAGAGATGCCCTGCGCCATGGATGACTGCAGGAGTCCTACTCTCCCACCACAGCACTGGTGAGCAGGGTCCTTTGCTTCTCCCAGGCTGTAACGGAGACCACCCCATCCTCCCTTGCAACACTAGTGATCTGGACATGGAGCCCCTGCTCCCCCAGACTGGGACAGAAATGCCCTCTCCTCCCTTCAACATCAGAAACCCCTTGGGCTAGGGCAAGGACAGGAATTCCCACCCCCATATATTCCTTCAACAGTACCAGTCAAGACATGGATCACCAGGCTGGGACAAGGGACCCCCATTCCTCCATGGGAATCCCCTCTTTGCTCCACACCTCTGTGGCACTGTTAATGGACTAGGAACGGTAGCTCAGATACCTGCTTCAACATTGGTAGTTGACTAGGACTCCCTACCTCTGTTTGGGAGCCACAGAGCAATCACTGTCACCCGGGCAGAGTGCCCAGCTCTCCATCCTGCTCTAGTGATTTCCCCATGGCAGCATCACTAAACCAGGTCAGGAGCGTGATAACAACCTTTCCCCTGCACTGCAGCCTCTGATAACTGGGACCAGTCTAGCAGGGCTGGGCTGTACATCTAGAGTTGCACTAGGGATATGAATGCTGCTGTGCATTCATCCCACACTCTTTGGAAAGTAAATACAGAGAGGTCCTTGCTTACCTGAGGGGGCTCTATGCTGGGCAGAAAGAAAGCAGGGAGAACGCTTGGAGGTGGTGATGGTAGTATAAATTCATTTCCAGGGTGACCTTGTATCCCTTCTCTTACCAGAGTGGGGCAGTTGGTCTTCTAAGGGCCAAGTTGGGGAATGTGAGGGTAAACTTCCACTAGCTTAGCTGAGCTGAGCTGGATTTGGACCTGGCTGGAGCTGTGTGCCCTTGCTACTGTGTGGGCTTGGCTGTGGGAGCTGCATCTGCCCTGCAGCTCATGCAGAGTCTAACGTTTGACCTGCTAGGGCCTGAGGAGAGATGTCCTGAGAAATGGAGGAAACTTTGTCTTTGGTGATAGTGCACGCTAGTGCTGGTCTCTGGGGACCTGGGAATACATCTCGCCCTACAGTCTCCTGCAGACAGGGGCCTGCAGCCAGGCTGGGAATGATAGGGGTCTTAGAGGGTGGAGTGCTGAGGAACGTCACATGCTGAAGCAGTTCTTGTGGCCCCCTTTGCCCATATGTAGTCATATCTCAGCCATGTAGTGACTACAGTGTCGACTCCCTTGGGCAATGCACTGAGTAAAGTACAGAGCATGTCCTGGGTAGGTGTTCTGGTGGACTATATGGCCTTCACCATGCTCTGAACCTTTTTTGCTTTGTTGCTTGCCCATGATGCCCAGAGGCGGCAGCACAATTTCAGGTGGGTTGTGACCCATGGGAAGCATGGACAGTAACTGATGAAGCCATTGCTTCAGCAAGAAGTCCTGATTTATAAATCAGTGGCTAAGCAATAAGCATCTGTTAAAATATGCTTGAGGCCAGGGTCTTGAGTATATTCCCCCAGCACCTTAGAGGTGGAGGAGGAGAGCAGCGGGGCCACAAGTTGCATCAACCTCACCAAGCTCTTGGATTGCTTCTGATTCCAGTGACACTGTATGGTGTGTTCACCAACCACTTCTCTGCCAATGGGCCTTCACGCTGCCTCCTGCTGGAGCTGCTGGATATCAGCGTTTCAGAGCTGCTCCTTCACTCCAGCAATCATGGCTGCTCTATGTGGATGATCCAGCACTGCGCCCGAGATGTCCTTGAAGCCCTGGCTTTCCTTCACCATAAAGGCTATGTGCATGCAGATCTCAAGCCACGCAACATTCTGTGGAGTGCGGAGGAGGAGTGCTTTAAACTCATTGACTTTGGGCTTAGCTTCAAGGAGGGGAACCAGGTGTGGCTCACAGCTGCGCAAGCAGTTTCTCTTACCCATTTTGAATTGCTTTGTTGTACTCCATGATCCTAAGCTGATCTCCATAAGCAGTTTGATTTGGGATGGGAGGAGGATGCAAAAAGAACATAAGCCTGGGGACTTTCTGTATTGCCCTGTTTTATGAGTCGATATTAAACAAATGTGGTGTTATGAAATGCCCTGCATGATAGGACCAGTAGCCATATAATCTGTTTTCCTGGCCGTTACCAGATGCTTAGGAAGGCATCGCATCTGTCCCTTAAGAGGAAAATTCTTACCTAACTCCAGTTTATGCCCTAAAACAGAAGTGTGTCTGTTGTCCTCATCCTTGGATGCCTATTGAGGTGTTACCAGTGAATTCCACAGGTTAATTATATGCTGTGCTTTTGATGAAATACCCTTTTTTTAAATAGTTGCCTTACAGTTTCATCAGGATGCCCCTTGTTTGTGCACTACGTGAGAGAGAAAGTGGGAACACACAGACCCATATCTACCCTACCCTATTTTGGGTTACTCTGGCTCCGGAGTTCCTGATCTGCCCATTAACAGCCTTTGCTTTCTCAGTCTCTCTGCACTACTCCCTCTTCCCCCACCCTACTTCTCATCTGTATTTCCATGTCTGTCTCCTATATTCCTTCTGAGATGGGGCAATACTATTGATGCATTTCATCACTCAGTTGGCTTTTTTTTTCTTTTTTTTTTTTTTACTGCTGCTGCTTACTGAGGAGAGAGGTTTTTTGTTTGTTTGGAGGGGTGGGGGGGGTTGCACTGAGCAGTCCACAAGGATGGTTGTGTTCCCGTCCTATACAGTTAGCATTGACAGAAAAGCCTGCAGCACTTAAATTGAGCAAACTTATTTTTCCTCATGTGCCTGACTTGTCAACCCAGATTTTCATCTGCTATCAGGCTGTCCCTTCACCCAATGGTGTTAGACCCTTCTGTGCCTCAGTCTCCATTTAGGCAAGTCAGGACAAGCAATGAAATTGTCTGTAAAATTCGTCACCTTTCTCATAGTTGGGCCCGTCCTTCCTTGTTAATAAAGATGATCAACATCACTAGTCCATTAAGGCCTTCCATCTTTAACTTATTGCACTATTTACCTTTTGTCCCATAGTTGCTTAGTGTCACTAATAGCATCTGGTTATAGAATCTGCTTTGGGGGTTTTATTTTGTTTTTAATCCAACAGTCTTTCTGTTTCTCTTTCCACTGTTGGTGTAGCTGTTAAACATAGACTTTTAGTAAATAAGATGTGATTTTTTTAATTTTTTTTTTCCCCACCGTGAAGGTGGTCCCTGTAGTGCTGTATTCATGTAAAGGTTCTATCATTTAGTTATTTCAGTCAGGTAAACTGGTGCTGAAGGCAATATGCGCTAGTTTGCAACTCCCAAGATCACCATTTTTTATTTGGGTTTTCTGGCTGAGCAACTGATTCTAATGAGCATACTTTTAAGTAAGCAGCTTGGCTGCTTTATTCTGCAGCTCCTTCAGGCTTCTTGGCTGGATGCCTTTGCTGCTACTAATCTGATGCCGTCTGGTAGACCAGCTACTGCTCTTGCAAATGTGATGCAGAATTTCGGAAGTTCTGTCTGCCTCTTTGCTCTGCAAATGACTCGTACACTTTTCATCCTTTCAGTTTGCTTCATCTGGCCTGGATTTCCTATCTTTGGTTTAGTGAACATCCTTGCTGGGCTGAATGACCTTTGTGCCTTGCCATGAGCACATAGAGGGCATCCATCTTGCCCTCTCCCATCTGTGTGATGAGTGGTATACACACATGCCATCTGTGACTCCTTGGGTGGCTTGACAGGGTTGAGACTGAGGATTTTAATTTCTTTGCTGCTTTGGAGTCTCTTTCTTTTTTTTATATAGACAGGATGGAGGGGTGCTGTCACTTACCATTGCAGGGCTTGTATTCTTGGAGGGAAATGTAAAACAAGTCTTGGTCACTTATGCTCACTAAAGATCTCAACTCTTCCCAGCAGTCAGGGTGGTTAAATTCCAGCCTGGGAAACTACATTTCAGCTGCTGTAATCTTTTTGCTTCAGAGGTGGACAGA